AAGTACTTTAAAGTGTATAAATAAGTTACCCGGGCTATTGATTTACACTAGCCAATCAGACGAATTTCAGCCCATGATGTGGCACACATGATCACGTGCCGGTGAAAATTTTGGTGGCGATCTAGAGGAAGATTAGTAAAGTGGCTTAGTCACGTGCCGGAAAATTTTTTGTGGGTGATCTACAGGGGTTGTAATTTTTAGATTCGATAAGGCAATCGTTTTGGATCAGCAGATCAAAAATTATCTGCATTTATATAAAGATATCGATACTAATTCGACTGGACAGAATATTGGACCTTCAGAAAAGCTATTTTAATAATTCAAGAGTCAAACTTTTTTTTGGTTATGAAGCTTTAAAATTTGTCGAGATATGAGCTGTTAAGATATTAATTTTTTTTTAAACCCTGTTTTCTATTGACCGCAGCCCATATAAAAAAGTCAAGCCCAGTACTTTGTAATGACCGGAATAAGTCCAATGATGATTATTGTTAACGCTCAACCCATTGGTCGAAATTTAGGGTAAAATTTAGGGGCGCTGCATCCCGAAAATCAGGCAAAATATTATCCGAAAATCAGTTTTTCATGTCGACGTCCCTGCCCGTCAATAGGATTTTCTTAAATTCAAATGAATTTTTTATTTTTTCTCATAAATAATTTACATAATGGCCGTATTTACGCTTTCTGCTCAAGTTAAAATTGGCTCTAAAGCAGCGGCACAATTTTTTTATCGTCATGCAAAGTTTTGTGCTTCTCACCAAGTCCTGGTGATTGTTCTGGCGATCCTCATTGTCTTACCCTTGTGTTATCCCGCTTTTGATGCTTACTACTTAAATCCCGTCAAAGATGTTAGTCATGCGTTTTTTTGGGAGGTACCTTCATCTAGATCACAGGTAACAAAGGATAAATTTGTTGAGAAATGCGGCACTCAACCTTCTTTCTTTGTAGAGCAGATTGTTATTAAAAAAACAGCTGATCCAAAGAAACATAAAGACAGTGGTGCAAGTGTTTTGGAAAAAGATTTATTATTATGGACTTTAAGTTTGCAAGAAAAAATCGCAAATGCAATTGTAATATATCCTAACCAGCTTTCAGATACACCCCTTTCGACCAGCAAAAAATATTCACTTTCGGATTTGTGTTTTAAGCCTTATGATAGTAATACATGTTTGATTCATTCGCCACTTGAGTATTGGTCGAATAGTGCCGACCGTCTTTCTTCCGATCCTTCTATTCTCAAAACACTATCAAGGACAGACAAAACATCTCGTGGAATGGTCATTCCTTTAAATTCAGTCTTTGGAAATGTCATATATGAGAAAAGAAACATTAGTGCAGATTCGATCATTTTAACCTATTTTTTGAAAGATATGATGGATGATTGCAATGAAGGTCAAACAATAGCAATTTGGGAAGCAATTTGGCGACAAGTTATGGACGATATTGGCTCTGATTTCTATATTGGTGGCGATCGCATTACAAGTGTAAACATAAATAATCAGGGTGAAATAAAATATTTATCTTTTAGGGTAGGTTTATTTCTTATCATTTGCAAATTATTTGCAATTTTATATAGTCTTTTCTCGTATTAAGTGCATAATTATCTTCATAGTTAGATCATAATAATTCTCTAGAATCTTCTGCAGAATGGGCTCTTCTTCTGTTGGCATACTTAATTTTTTTTCTTTACATCATCATTTCAACGGATCGTCTTAATTCCGTCATGTCTAAATTTGGTCTTGCCTTCTCAACTGTGGCTCAAGTGTTTGCCTCTTTGATTATGTCACTTAGTATCTGCTCTCTATTTGGTGTCACATTAACAATTGTCTCCGTATCTTGGTGAGTATATAATGACATTTGTATATCAAATGTCTTATTCATACAAACAGTAGTACAATGTATTCTTTCATTTAGGAAACTATTGCCTTTTGTTTTTATCCTGGTCGGTGTTGAGAATATGTTTATTTTAACAAATGCTGTAATAGCAGTCCCCATGCAATTGAATGTAAAAGAACGTGTTGCCAGAGGTAATATATTCGCATATTCTTATATCAGGTCCTTTATTATTGATAAATTATATATTTGGCTCATGATATGCCTTTTTTAGGTCTGGAAAAAGTTGGATATTCAATTACAAAAACACTAATAATTTGGCTCTTAATATTGCTGATATGTTCGGCAATAAATATTGAGTCGATTCAAGAATTCTGCATTTTTACCTCGATTGCTATGATTATTGATTATATGCTACAAATGTCGTTTTTCATAGCGACTTTATCTATTGACCTTGAAAGATTAGAACTAGAGGTATAAGGCATATTTATTGTGTATAAGTGCTTTTTATTAGTCCAATTAGTTTTATCAATATTATAGTCGATTATATAGATGTCCAATTTATTTAACAATCGCATCGGAGAACCGGATAGCGACGATAAAGATTCTGCTCCGCAGTCAAAAACAATCAATTATGGCCGTAGGATCGGTAGCTCATTGGTGGTATGTTAAATTCATATTATTGTTATTATTATTAATCATCTATACGTAATTGAGGGACATTCTCTTTCCTACAAAGGTTCTCATTTTCATGGTAGCTGTAACCAATGTTTATCAATCCAATATTGATTTGCCACCTCTTAAGTCTGCATTAACCTTTGTTGGTGATGCTCTAGTTTTTCCTGATACACGTACAAACGTCACATATTGGGAAACATCAAAGGCTATCACTGCTGATAAATTTTGGGGCATTGTTAATCCGGACCAAAAAAATCAATTTGCTGAAATTAGACCTTCTAGACATTTAACATTGTCTTATGAAGCTACACAGGAAATTAATGAGAACGGGAACTGTTTACTTCATGATAATGGCATTAACTGGAAATTCATTACAAATAAATCTATAAAAGCTTTCATTTGGGTTCTCAAATTCACTGTATTTCCTGCTACCGGTATTGCGTTTACAATATCTTTCTTGGTAGGCTTTTTATTACCAGAGGATATGGTAATTCGGGCTGCAAGATTGTCAAAAAAAAAAAGAAATAAGGTTGATAGAATCATTTTACCTGCATCTTCATCTTTCGGAAGATCTACATTGTGTGTTACCACGCCACGAGTTGTAACTTTGCGTGGTCATCATTTAGCTGATGTTGATTTAATTTGTTCGAACTTGAAAGGCATTATAGTTACAACTGCTGCTGACAGACATATTACTTCATGGAATGGAAAGAAAGGTATGCCATTAAAAAAACTTGAAAGATTTATGCGACGCTGTGAGTCGTGCAAATGTAGTAGCACTGGAGGGATAAAAAATTGTATTTCATGGCCGGTTCGGGCAATGTGCATGAATGACAATATTGAGGTTGTGGCGGCTGGGTTTGAAGATGGCGTAGTGCGAGTATGGGATATAAACTCAGGACAAGCTACCTATATTTTGAAAGATACCGTTGAAGATGTCGAACAAGCGACGTCGTCCAATG